ATTTGAACTAGCACCTCATGACTACACCACGTTATGTACGAGAAGCTGCAAAAGACATAGGCGCAAGTGGAATGTACAAAACATAGTGACATAAAATTAAGTAAATATAATGGGTGATGTATTGCGTCCCCAAAAATTGAGGTCATGTACATGTATTGCGCGATAAGTCGATATATTGATTATTGCGACAGGCCTACATGCATATATTATGTAAATATAAATACAAACACACACTGTATATATTTTGAAAATATATACATGTATGTACATTTTATATATTTATATTCTAATATTTTATGTTTAATTTTTCTTAAATATATACATGTATGTGTTTGTATTTTTATATATACATACATACACACACACACACGCATTATGTAAACAAAAACTTTTATTTTGGATGCGATTAATCATTTGACAGCATTAATATAGGGCTGTGCAAAAAATCGAATGCGATTGTCATGCACATCTCGTCAGTAAAGCCGGTTCTGTGATTAGTAGTAAACCTCCATCACGTGCTTTCAGATGGAGCGGCATTTAATACACCGAGCCGTAGTTCGCTGACAAGCTACGCAAAATCGCAGGCGATTCATTGCCAATTATGAACACGATTTTTGTGTAGCTTGTCCGTGAACTACGGCTCTGTGTAGTAAATGCCGCTCCATCTGAAAGCACGTGATGGAGATTTACTACTAATCACAGAACCGGCTTTACTGACGAGATGTGCATTAAAATCGCATTTGATTTTTTTGCACAGCCCTACACTAATATAAACGTATAAAACTGAAATTGAATAAAAGTAAAAAATAAAATGCTACTCGTCACTGTATGGGGTTTATTTCTTTGTCACTCTAACATATAAATAACATTACATCCACGTAGTGTACTGTGATAGAAATTTGTCAGAATAGTTATTGATTGATACTTTTTGTTGTAGCTACAATATATATTGTCTTGTAGCCTAATCCTAATTAATATCAAGTTTGTTTAATTTTTATTTCGTTTGAGTTTTTCAATACTTTGTAATCGCTTGTTTAATTCATTTGACACGCAGCAGAAATTAATTTTAGAAATAGACTTTGTGAATCTTGCATTCTTATCTGGTTTTATTATATAAAGAGGTTCACATGGTTTGGGATAGTTTGGTCCACATCAAACACTCTACTGTGAAATTTTCCTCAGCATAATTTTGAAGGCATTAGGAAAATAGTTTAAAATAGTACAGTGCATGACACAATATTTTGGGGAAGTCATGCTGTATGTCGACTGTCAAATGTTAGTGGATGGAATTACAACAGCAGCGTGGAGATTTCATATTGTTGACGTAAACAGTCGGTAATGATTACGAAATAAACAAAAGCAGTTGGACAAATTAAAAACCAAACAATAGCGGAGATGGAAAACTTAATTTGAAGCTTTATTTCACAGCAGTATTAAACACAGAAATTCAGAAAATGTGTTACCAAGAATGCACACAAATGTTAAACATTTTAACCTAAGACAGTGATTGTCAACCCCTAATAAGTCTTATTTGCGTTCGGTTAAATAATTTAAAAACATTCAAAATAAAGATGCACAACTTTAAATTAACATTAGTCAACACTTTATTTTAAAGTCCAATTAATTAACTACGACTTTTGCCTCAAATTCCTAATTTGCTGTTTATTAATAATTAGTAGGGCTGGGTAAAAAATATCAATATCTCTATATTAATCGATTCTCATTTTTACGGAACGATATAAATTCTTAAATCCCAAGAATCGATTAGTGTAGCCTGTTTTCAGTTAATGGACGGAACACTGAAGGGCACCTCCCATCCAATATATCGCAATAAGCATTGTGCGTTGGTACTTTTAATATGGAACGGTCTCCGATTTCAAATTCTGTCCATTGTATTGCAGTATTCAAACAATAAATGCCGTTTTGGCGCTGTTTGTGGAGTGACAGATCGCTGTAGTGCCTCCAGTTTAACAGATGCGGCAGTGCGAGGCGCACGTGAATTGATCATCTCCTCCACATTAATACCAGTTTCAGCACAAAATAATCATGACTAAACATCCGAAGGCAAGTTAAAAGAACGAGTACAACTTTACAGTCTGTATCCTGTCTCATGCAAGCGCTCAATCAGTGTTCAGCCGCGCAAAGACGTCAATATAACGGCTTGTAAACAATGTCACGTAATGTCACATTTACCTCAGAAAAACATATTCGGTGACCATAAACTCATTAGTGAGATGGAAGAATAAACCGTAGAGAGGGGCATTTTGCTAAATATATGCACCATATAACATTCAAATTATAAATTTGACTGTTCTAATTGAATCGAATCGGTAATCGAATCGCAATCTTGTGAATGAGAATCGAATCGTGAAAATTGTCAAAACCCAGCCCTAATAATTAGTAAGGTAGTTTATGTATTGGGTAAAATTGGGGATGCAGAATATGTGCTTTCTAAGTACTAATAAACAGGCAATATGTTAATAATAGGCATGCTAATAAGCAACTAGTTAATAGTGAGAATTGCTCCCTATACTAAAGTGTTACCCTAACATTTGAGTTTATATGTATTACGACAGAACTATCAGACACGCCTATGATCTTAGATTGGAGTCATTCAGAAGAATGTGTGCTTGGCAGATAATGGTCTTGTTTACAGCTTGTAGACAACTTTTGGTGCTGCGACTCTACTCTGTTTTTGCTAATGGGTGCAGAGTGTTTTTATGTCATGATCTTAGTACTGACGTTACTGTTCTCCTGTCTCGTCTGACGTAGCCTCTCTATATAATGTGTTAATGACGGCTTTTACTGGTTAACCGTGAAACAAACCGCAGGGTCCAGGAAGTCTCACAGGTTGACCTACATGCATCCAGCTCAGTCTGGTTGTAAAACAATCACATGACCGTGGCGTGAGTTTGCAGGAATGGACTTGAATCAGACGATTCTGTGCCAGGATGAGGCTCATGCCAACCCGATGCCAAGAAAAGCGTTCAGACGTCGGATTCTCCATTCTCCACCTTTATCGCTGTAAATCCTCTTAATGAAGCCCGTCTTTGATTCACGCTTCACGTTATGCTGACGACTCCCGTGTTTTGTTCTCAACAGGAATCGCTCATTTTTGGAGAGATGGCCCAGGAGACCAATCAAAGCCCCGTGCCCATGCTCTGTGCCACCGGCTGTGGTTTCTACGGCAACCCTCGGACCAGTGGCATGTGCTCGGTCTGTTACAAAGAGCATTTAACACGACAGAACAACGGGGGAGTCAGTCCTATTAGCACAATGGGTACGTGTTTCCGCTCTTTGAACATCTTCACGGGCCGTCGGCCGCATTGGTGAGATTGATTGTTCCTCAAGCGTCTCATTAACTGAAGGGGGTTTGGTCTGTTCCAGCAGCTTCCAGCAGTGTCACCAGTAGTCCTACCTCTGAATCCTCAGCCATCCAGATCATCGAAGCTACACTAAACAACTCCTCGTCTGCTAGCGCTAGTGCTGAGTCACCTAGCGGCTCCACCGCCGCCGCTGCCCTTCCCGTTACACAACAGATGACGGAGATGAGCATTTCCTGTGAAGACGAGGTGGTCTCGCCTAAAGTAGAACTTCCTGAACCAGGTTGGTATTTCTGTTTCCGACTTGAGGAAGTGTCTCAAGAGTCAAGACTGTTCAGAATTGAGTGCTGACTTTACTGCAAGCAAGGAAGTGAACTTGTTTGAATAGAGCACATTTTAAAACCGTTTACATGTGCGCACACGCACATATGTTTAGATGCATATGCATACATGCATTGAGCATACATTAATACTGCATACTCGGGGACTTGTATAGTTAAACAATCTTTTCTGGTGAAATTTTATCATGTATTAATAAAAAAATAAAAACTTGTAAAATTGTAACTGCTGTATTTTTCAGTGTGCTTGGTTTTTATTTTGTGTTTCTGTAACTCTTGTGTTATTGCAGCTAATAGCCTTATTTTATGGCAATAAAAACAAATAACTACTACTGTTGAGGTCATTATGAGTGTGCTAATTCAGCGTGTGCTGTGTAGTTCTCTTAAATGAGAATTCATACATGACATTTTATGTTTACAAAATCTTTTAACACTTGATACTCGTATGTTAAAGACGAAAATGAAAGTTCAAGAAGACTGCATTGCATTGTGGGGTACATTGCTAAGTGTTCTCTTGGATGCAAACTTGTTTTTTTTTCACATTGCACATCAGCTACACTTTTTGGGAAACACTTAAGTAATCCAATTATTTAGTATACAAAATGTTTGCGTACTATACACTGTGCTGTACATACTGCAGAAATTATAGTATGCAATTTTCAATGCTCCGTCATTTTAGCAAATTAATTTGATTTTATATATATGACTTTTTTTTTTTTTTTTTTTTTCAAGAATATACTTCATTAAAAATTATTTATTTTTCACTTCAGTCAGATCAGTGATGCATTTGATCATTGCGCCCCTGCCTGAGTCCTGACAGTTGCTATTATTATTATTATTTCTAAGATATTAATATAGTATGACCATGCATCCCCTTTTTTTTTAAGGACATGTTCTGGACGGGGTTTGTAATTTACCTGAAATGTCTGGGTTTTGGATTGTTTTTCAATTGGTTTCATGTTTGCTGAAGGTAAAGAGTGAAAAGAAGTTTGACCGACAGCATGCAGGCATTTCACAATAGTGTGCGAGAAGGTGGATCTACAGAGAATAAGAGTAATGCACATACACGCACACATAATGTCTGAGGACTGTCAATAGGAAAACAAAGCCAAAACTGGGACATTTTAGGCCGTTTGGAAATCCCAGCCCGGACATGTTGTTTGTGAGCTGTTAATTCGTGTGACTGTTTTTCCAGTTGTCACTCAGCCGACAGCGTCCACCGACCGTTTGGAAATCCCAGCCCGGACATGTCCCAGAAAAAGCACATACGGTCACTATATATGATAAAACACTGTTTGAAATGTAAGTGTTTAAAAGTTCTGCAGATTGTGTAAAATGACTAGGAATGAAACATGACATGTAGTAGCAAAGTAATTCACTCTGTTTGCTTCAATGTATCAATGAAACTCTTCCCGTGATCTTAGCTTGTAGTTGTTTGTGAGCTGTTAATTCGTGTGACTGTTTTTCCAGTTGTCACTCAGCCGACAGCGTCCACCGCTCCTCTGAGCACAGCTGAAGCTGAAGAGACCAAAACACCCGACGCCTCCAAACCCAAGAAGAACAGATGCTTCATGTGCCGCAAGAAGGTCGGCTTGACAGGTGGGCACAGCCAGCACGTTCACACACACCACAGCTCAGATGCAGTCTCTCTGTACACACGTTCTGATGTGCTGATGTCTGGTTTGTCAGGGTTCGACTGCCGTTGTGGGAATCTCTTCTGTGGACTCCATCGCTACTCGGACAAGCACAACTGCCCCTACGACTACAAGGCGGAGGCTGCGGCCAAGATCCGCAAAGAGAACCCGGTGGTGGTGGCCGATAAGATTCAGAGAATATAAAGCTCTCGCCGTCACACCTCCACTTTGCGAGAGATCAGCTATAAGGACTCGCACTTTGACCTGTGATCTGAAAGACTAGTTTTTTTAATTACAGTATGGGAAAGAATCTTGTTTCTAAGCCAATGCATGAGTGATCACTTTGTTTCCATCTTTCTTTTGCTTTCTGTTGTTGGTATATGAGCTTCAAGTTAAAACAAATGGGGAAAAAAAGAATGCCTATAAAAGGTGTGAAGCCAGAGACATTTGCCTAACGTGTCGGTTTCTGAGTGGAAGACGTGCTGTTGTTCGTTTACTCTGTGATGTGTCTCCCGGTCGGACTCTGACCCGAGCGCTGTCAGAGCAGCAGTGCATGGCTGGCTCATGTAGCAGATGGACGCTCTTCTCGAACGTTTGGCCCTGCCGTTCTCGAGTCAGCCTTTACGACATTTATCAGCCATCTTTCTGCTCGAGCATCAGCCAGTGGCTGTTGGAGTGATGCTGGGGTTTCCCTGTCATTCGACTGTGTTAAAAATGATTTTTAAACCATTGACAGACTTTGTGAAAAATATGTAATCCAATTGGGATGGTTTAATGCAGCCAGACCAGAATGCTCCATGATCAATTTTGAGTGACTGCATCCATGATACCCTGTCAAGTTCAGATGAGGTTGGACGTGGCAACAACACAAAACCATTTATTAATTCTTCCCCATTTAAGTAAATGCATTTTTTTTTTTAAATTTCATTGTAATGTGACACCAATTTGATTTATGGGCTTGTTGGGTTTAAAGCGGGTGTTTTGCATGGTTAGTGAAATGAGTATTTTACAGTTGACTGCATATTAGAAGTCCATTTCTAATTTTTTTTTTTCCTTTTCCTGTGTCTTTTTGCTCTCTAATTCACCTTTCTCACGTGTGATTGATGTTTTTAGTGGGTATTGAGTGTTAAATGCTGGTAAGACATAATGGTATTGTTTAGTGTCATGTAATCAGCCCGTTGCGCCTGCTCAAGTGTTGTGAGTAAGTGAGTTAGTCGCCATCGTGTTCATTTGAGGCTCAGTCCGTTTTTTTTTTTAGGTCTGGCTGCACAGCGCGGTTTTATTTTAGAGCTTTGAGTTTACACAGTAAAACTAACCGTCTGTTCCGATTAGATTTTTAGTTATGCAAGTTTGTACAAACTAGCTTTATTTATTTTATATATTGCGCATATAATCTTGTTACCCACCATTACTGCGAAATTGTATCATGTAAATAAAATTATGTACAGAGATATCATTAAAATGTGTACTGTGCTGTTGTCATGGTGTTATAAAGATGTCCGTTCTGTGGATAAGATTTATTTCTGCAAAATAATGTGAAGACTAAACTAATTTAAAAACGGGTGAATTAGCAGTGTGTCACAGGGTTGCCAGATATGTTTCCCTTTCAAAACTACCGAAATTATAATACAAAAGATGAAATTGCTAAATGGTCAGGAAGAAATATTTTGTCAGATTATGTATTTCAATACAAATATCATTTGGTAAAAAATTAACCTGTGGCAACAAAAGTAGCCCAAACCGGTGGGGATTTGGCAACCCGATACGATCATGAGAACTACGTGACTGCTTTAATTCAGAAATGACGTCAACACTCGTCTTTTTTTTAGTAATAGTAGGATTGTGGCAAGTTTACAAGAGATAAGGAATTTTCATTTTCCCGCCAATACACCAGAACGATTTAATCAGTACAATGAATTTAAAATGTTTCAGGGCCGGATGGGAAACCGGAGGCTGTATGATAGTTTGGTAGGCGCTATACATTTTTTGGCCACCAGCGGGCCGCATTATACAAGCTTCGATTAATTAACTCTTACTAGAGTTTAATTAATCATTTCCTTAACTCAAGGAAAGTCTTGACTCGTCACAGAGCCTACTAATTACAATGCTTTCAAGACAGCACTCTACTGACGTTTACATAAATGTAATACTAGCACTGTCTGTTTCCTTCCTAAATGAATCTGTTTTTGAACAAATCAGTTGAGTCAATGATTCAATGTTTCACTCAAAGTCAAGACAGTTCATGTAACCTGCATAAAGGCTCACTGAAAAATCCTCATTATTATCACACAAACTAATAGCCAAACAAGCAAGTGGAGTGATGGCAACAAAAATATAATATTTATATTTTAAAGTAGCCTCACATTCAGTCTTATTTGTACAACTGTGTTGAAAACCCAAAATGGAAAAATGCTTCTTGTCTCGTCACATTCAGTTATGAATTGCATGAATCGTGTAAATGTCAGCTTATATTTTCAATTTAATTTTTTTTTAAAATATTACTATTAATAAAATGTAATATTACTGCGTAAAAACAGTTTTCATACTGCATTTCTGACCCTAATAATAATAATAGTGATGTTTCCTTTAGTGAGAATTAACACTGACTGAAAAAGTTGCATTTATTAACTCATTACACAAAATGTTTAATCAGAACTGGAAACATTTTTTATGCATTTATGACATGAAGGCACTTAACCTCATCTGAACTGGTGATCCAACAAGAACTCGAGCTCAACATGTAGTTGAGTTTCTTCAGGAGATTTGTCTGCGTGTGGCGCATCTGATGAAGGCTTTCTCGCTCCATTTGTTCGGCGGCAGCATGTAGGGTCCGTTGTGCACACAGAGGATGGTCATCTGCTCCGCGTACTGCAGGTTCTGTAGGAGCTACACACACACACACACACACTCAATGACACTCTCATACCAGCGAACACATCACACACACAATGTAATTCAGCAAACCTACCTTAGGTGTGATGAAGAAATACTGAGACGTGTTCACACCACACGCTGTGCGCACTACGATGTCAAACACTCGTCTCTCATTGACAGGATCCATGCCCTGAACAACACAACACTTCACCTCAGCAAACAAGTTCTTCATGCATGACTAATTATTTCATACCAAGAAGCAATTTTGCAGTTCTGAAAATTCAAGACACCGTAAAGCATTATCTACTGAAAACGGTTTTCATAACATATATATACATAGTTAATGATTTAACTCCGCAAGTCCAGCTATTAAATAAAATCATTCATGTTGCATGTGATTTATGAATGCTGTGTGACTGTATGCATGTCACAATATTCATTTCTGCTGTTCTGTTGACATGCACAAGAAATATCGGTTTATTTGTAAAAATATTTATTAGTATTTTATTTCTTTATTTGTGCAAAATACTTATATAGAATTACAGAAAAAATAACAGAATACATTCTTTTTACATCATTAAAACTATAATTGAAGTTCATTTATTTCCCCCAAACAGATATTTTTTTTTTTAAATATTATATATTTTTTCAATATAAATGTGTGACATTACATACATTAGCATAATCATCATCCATTAAAAACCCCACATTAGTTGACCCATTAACTGAGACGATATTTAGATAGCATTAAAATTCGTGTATCATTCGATCATTCGTTTTTTGATTTAATATTGAAAGTAGAAAAATGAGAAAACGGTCCTTTTTCGTTTTTTTGTTTTTTTCCAAAAAACGAAAAACGAGAATTCAGCTTAAATTTTTGTTTTTCGTTCATGGGTGGAAAAAAACGAATGATCGAATGATACACGGATTCATTAAGGTAGTATTTGTTCATATTTTGAATTATATTGATATGTTCAGTTTTTGTTATTTTGTTTTTGTGTTTGTCTATTCAGTTTTCATTTGTTTTTAAAACAGTTTTAAGTAATTCTAGTTTATTTCAATAGACATTTAAATTAAAAAGTGTTTCAATTTATGTACTTTTTAATTTTGGTATTTTTAGTTTTTGTGTTATCAATAACAACTGGACAGATTGAGACCTTTTTTAGTGTTATTTTATTATCACTGAGGTACTCCTACAGTTCTTACGAATAGTTTGAATTAGCTTTTATTTTTATATTTTGTTCTCTTTTTCATTTCTGTTCCGATTTAGTAATTTTGTTGTTATTTTAATTAGTTTTTTTGTGTCTGTAAAGTTTATACATCTTTATTTTCCATGACCCCCCTAGACGAGTATAATCTATTTCAAGAACCACCCAAATATTTGTAATCAAAAAACAATTGAGATTACTGTAAGCTTAATCTTAGTTAAAAGTTTAATATGGCAGAAATTAAGTACTTAAGAAAAATAACTTATTTTATAGTACAACCAGTGTTGGGGAAAGTTACTTTTAAAAGTAATGCATTACAATATTGCATTACTCCATAAAAAAGTAACTAATTACGTTACTTAGTTACTTTTTACGGAAAGTAATGCGTTATGCTGCTTTTTAAATCTGGACAGGGCTTGCTTGTTTGATTTTAAAATAAAAAAAGTTATATTTTTGGCAAATATAAAAGCCTTTTCACACCAAAAGTGAAAAGAATAAGCCTCAGGCTGAAGGGAAAGTACATTTATGTCCGTACAGTAGAATTCAGAAGAAAAAATTTCAACACTCACGTTACTTGTAATGCGTTACCCCCAACACTGAGTACAACTGTAAAATTTTGTTACTAATATTTACGTTTTAATTTCTTCACAGACGTTAATGATGTCCATAAAACTTGAAACTCGCTGTGTTGTTAAACTCATCGCGGAGTTCAGCGCATAAGAAGCGAAGCAGAACTATATGAAACAGTTTGGAGATTAAAATAATTGTGAAATAATAAACCGACGTCTCATTTTAAATAAACACTAAAAACCGAGACGACAAATTTACTTCAGCCAGAAATGTACTTTTGCAATTGTTAAATAAATGTTCAGCGATATCTTCAAAAGATTTTTGAACTTTGGCACAATTTTATCTCTATATAGTGACGATATGGCGAGGGAATAATCGGAAAATTGGTCAATTTTGTTATGCTAGTGTGTGGAAACGTTTCAATCAGGTAGTGTTACAATTAACCGCTCACCCTGTACATGTGAAGTGCTTTTTACAGACCGTTTCCTTACTGGTAAGGTAGCCAAATATGAAGGAACGAAAACCACAAACTCTTTATATCTCTCGGAAAGATACAGCGGCAAATTCAAACAGACGATAGAAATGAATGAACATATCTGAAAGAGTTTTCGTAACATTTGAATTTTCCAGTGTATGCAATCTCAGGCACAATACAGCGCAGTGAAGTGAGCCAGTTTCTTCTCATTAATAATGCGGACCGATCGAGCCTTTTAATAACGACATCGCAATAATAATAATATCGCAATTTGTAATTAATGTTGGTATATGGTGCAGCCCTAGACTGAACTGTGTGTCATTGAAACACACATTTAGCTGCAGCAAAGTGACTTGTGCGACCCACCTTGTCCCACTCTGACAGTTTTAGAACATAAACGAAAATCAAAATGAGAAATACTAGCTAAAGTAAAATTAGATTTTTTTTTTCCAGTAACAAGTAACCATTTTTGTAATTGTTTTAGTTTTAGTGAACAAATATCAACACTGAGACGTGATTCATTGACCAATTGTGACCCTGGAGCACAAAAGCAGTCTTAAGTTGCTGGGGTATATTTGTAGCAATAGCCAAAAATACATTGTATGGGTCAAAATGATTGATTTTTCTTTTAAGCCAAAAATCATTAGGATATTAAGAATCATGTTCCATGAAGATATTTTGTAAATTTCCTACTGTAAAAGTCTGGTGCACATGTACATCATTATGTGCTCTACTACAAGCTAGAAATGGAAGCACCTGTAAGAAAGAACAATTTAGTCTGAATGTGTCCAGTGTGTTCACCTGGTTGATCTCGTCCACCACTCTGAAGGGGCAGCGGTTGAGCTCCTGCAGGGCCATGAGGTACAGCATGGTGGACACGCTGCGCTCTCCTCCGCTCTGATGGTGAGGCGTCAGCTCGTGCAGCTCCGTGCTGCTGCGAAACTTCACCTGGATGCGGATGCCGTACTTATCATACTCCTCCTGAAACACATTTACACAACACGAATCTGACTTATGGGGCTTCAAATTGTGTTCGCAGATGTTATTTTGCAATACTTTAGATGAGAGGATGGCTTTTACACCAATAAAACGAACCGAAATTCAGCAATAATTGTCTTACAATCCTAATAACTGCAGTACAAAATACAGCAACTAAAACAATCCCCTTCACTGTCCACTGGATGAAAACAGCAGCAAATCAACCGTCTCATATGAACTAATACTGATCCGCTATTGTGTAGGAGAGACCGGGGCAGCCTCACATGATGTTGTGAGAGTGTATGAGAGTTTCATGTCTAGGGTTGGGTCCCGAACTCGGTACTTTTAAGGGTACCGACCGAATTGCGTCGGTACTACCGAGTACCGATTCACGATAAATCAATCGGTGCCAAATTTCGGTACCTGAGAATGCATCTGGGTGCATATGTTACAGAGAGAGAAAGAGAGACCCTGTGACATGAGGTCACCCCTGCAACTCGTTCAAACAACACACAGGGCAAGTCAAAATGTTCTGAAGTGTGGTTACATTTCTAGGGCCATATGGTTTTTGCGAAAACGTGGACGGGATCGCGGAGTCCATTCATAAAAACGTAATTTACTCTATATCGCTGAATGCCACGTCAATTTTGGACGAATAAATCAAAAGTAGGTCTGCCACTTAATTCGAATCGCGATATGAACTAGTGTCTGAATATTAAAATGTAAAAAGACAGTTTAAATATGAATCCTGCATGTTCCGCTTGCCTCTGTATGTATGAATGGCGGAAACGCGGTTTTGTTTACTACACAAATACTGAAGCACGCGTGACGCTCGCGGTGATTTCTGGCCTCTGCGTCTCACTATATGACGACATGAACACAAAAACTTAATCTCTAGAGCTGCTGTGAGAGTCCATTTCATTTGAGAGAACTAGCATCATCATACTATATACACACAGAAACTTCATGGCAACCTGTCAAAATAAAAGTACGGTTTAACATGTAACATGAATATATTGCTCTTGTATTACTTTTGTACAGTATAATGTACATCTTTAAATATTCCATTTTCTATCAAATTTAAATAAAACAATTAAATTATAAAAATAAATATTACAACCAGATTAATCACTTAATTGTAGAAAAAAAAAATACGATTATTAGCCTATTAAAAAATGTTTTAAAGGAATACTGTTTTAAATTTTTCCTCCATGCAGGGACGCGGGAAGTAGGGGTGCTGAGGGGGCTGCAGCACCCCCTGTTTTCACATGGTTGCAACTTGCAAATGCAATGGCAAGTTTGTTCATTTAAATTTATTCCGTTTTAGCATTTAATAATTAATTTGTTTAAACGAGTGTTCATATCGACGCGGTTGTAGTGCTTTGTGGAGCACAGCCCCCCTCCCCTTTCACCCAACACGGACACACACAGCACCCCCAACCGAAAACATCTTCCCGCGCCCCTGCCTCCATGTATAAATTTCAACAGTAAACCTCAGTTTGTTTGCCAAAAAATAAAAGGGTTTAATTTTCATTTGATTTAAAATAACTGT